TACCCAGGCAATCCCATACATCAATCCTCACCAAAGGCTCTACATTTGGGCCTGTTTTTTAGTACTTTCAGTCCTGTTGCTGAATTACTTCTAATTATCTTGTGGAAATACTTCTGCTTAGATCTCAGATGGCTATTTCTGGATCAGCGATTGTAACAGCAGGAAGAAATTCCTCGCTACAAAAACCAAGCCGCCAGCCAGTTAATCACTGGAGTTGGGTCAATCTATCCGACTTCCAACAGCCGAACCTGGGCCAGAAGTGTGACCCAGCCCAGATGGTTGCATCACCACCATCTACCTGGTTGAAACATATGGAGATATCAGTGTTCCGCGTTGATATTCATGGACTATCTGAAGACAAAAAGGACATATTCTACATATTATTCATTATCAGTAGTATCGCATATTGCGATGTATTGATGCACTCCTGATAACTTGGAGCTAGCAACAAAAACAGTTACAGATAAGAACTGTTTCCTGTAAGGTTTTAACAATTCACATTATCATGTAAACAGTTCCCAAAGTCACTGAACAGGGGAAAGTGTCCCAATAAATTGAGGAAAAGAACATTAGACTGTAGAGTGGATGTTTTACCAATATAGGAGCAGGATATAAAACAAATGCAGTTAGATTGCAGAGTTTACCTGACTATGTGGTAATACAGGATATGTAATAAATCAATATAACGAACAAGCATTAATAACTGTGAAGGTACATTCACTCTATCATAAAGTAAACAGGCTGATATTTAATCTATAATGGGACAGACATTCACCATAGTGAGATGTCATATCATTGGCAAAGGCGAGAATGCTCATTGGTGTAACTTCATTACCCATACTCGCACCAGGCTAAAACTCACTCTCCGTAACGTTTGATTTAGGCTGGTTCACTGCATTAGGTTGCTAAGTTGCTGTAACAATCACTAATACTAAAATTGCATTACATAGAGAGTCTAATACTATACTATATTACATTATTATTCCCTAACAGCTCTTTGTACCTTTATATTCACTCATACTTTAAACATACATATAAAAATAAAGTATTTAAATCTCAGATTAGTTTTAAACAGCCAACTGCAAATGCTAATGTATAACACATTGTATAAAATGAAAACATCATGTTTTAAAAAGCGAATAAAAGCAAACATTAACTAATTAAATCAACACTATAATTCNATGCTAATGTATAACACATTGTATAAAATGAAAACATCATGTTTTAAAAAGCGAATAAAAGCAAACATTAACTAATTAAATCAACACTATAATTCTTCCTTCATTATTTTCTGTACACGGCAGCTGTGCACACCTTCCACAAACATCCTGCACATGACATTGTAAGATTTGGCAAACAGTGGAATATCACTGATTTCACATGTTGACCTGGAGAGCCCAGATGTTCTCCATTTTGGTCAGATCATCTTCGAACTCAGTGGACCCATCTAGCGAGCGCCTGATGTAAACTTTAGAGAAGACATCAAAGGAATGGGCGTCGTCACAGCGCAGGCTCACTTCCTCCACAGGCTCGAGTTCTGGCTCAAAGTCAGAGAGCAGAGGGAGCTGAATCGTGCCGGTCTGCGGGTCCCAGTTCACTATGGTGCCTTCTTCTGTCTCGTGTTCCTCCTGGAGGCCCGGACAGGCAGCCTGCCACTGCTGTTTGTATGCAGCAGAGGCTCCGCCCACCCTGTCACCGGGAACTTGGCCCTCGCCAGCAAACGGCAGGCATGCCTGGGTAACCTTGGCCACCTCTTCCACCGGTTGGGCCTTGAGCACGAAGCCGTAGTCGGAGCCCTCGCTCTGAGTCACCTCTACACCGTGAACCTCCTGCTGAACCACAGTCCTTGGCTCCGCCTTCACGACCCCCTCATGGGCTCCTTGCTGGGCGGCGTATGCCGAGCACGGTGCCGCTGGGAGCATCTGCATCTCTGATTGGTGGGCAAGAAGCATCTCCATCTCTGATTGGTGGGCAGGATGGAGGGAGGCTTTTTGAGGGCCTTTGGCTCTTCCCTGGTCTTCAGGGTCCAACTCGGCCATGGCGTTGTCGACGTAGATGAAGTTCACCTTCAGGAGCATGTCGGAATAAAAGTGCTGGAACTCCGGGAGGTGCGGGACCAGCTGCTAAGGGGGGGCAGCATGTTGTCGTTAGTCCAGCAATGGATTACATTTTGCCCATTTGAAACAATTAGCAGACCATTATCTAATCTTAGTTTCACACAAGTGAAGTCTTGACCCCTTTCGTGCTTCTCATTCACAATGATTGAAACCGAAATGATTCCTCTCACTACCTTTACCAAATTTCAGGTTGTATATTTGACAGACTATATGTTATTGACACTATAGCAGAATCTAAATGAATTAGCTTGTTACCGCAAATGCTGATTTATTATGCATATAATGTTATTCAGAAGTGGGATAGCTATGACAGCAGGATAGAGATATCAGCGAGATAGCTATGACAGCAGGATA